CCCGGCGCTCCCCAGTACAGCCGCGCTCGCAGGCTGGTTCCAGCAGCCCCAACCACCCCGTGGACAGGCTGGGATTGGAGCCAGGGGTCCATGAGGGTGTGAGCCTCACTGCCAGCCTGTTTCCCACAGCACACCACAAGAGCACAAGCACTGCCCCACGCCTGCTGCTGAAATGTTTTCCCCCAAAGCCACAACCCTTCGGTGAAGAGCACACACCAATATGAGATCCAGCCCACGGGCAAGGAGGTTTCCTCCTCACTCAGCACCATGTCCCATCCCACCCCAGCATCTGGGGCAACTGACTCGACAACAGAGCACGGTGGAAAAGTCCAAGATGATGAAAATGTGTCTGAGGTCTCTGGGGAGACCCAAAAATGGGAGTACATGACCCAGGAGATGTGAAAAACAGGTCTTGGGGTTCTTGAACCACTGAGTTTGGAAAGAGCTCGGAGCCCAGCGTGCACACACGGGCTCCCGGCTATAGAGGGAGCATCACCACCATCCTTCCACCCCAGTGCAGCCCAGGAACACTCTGCTGAGGCAGAACCAACCCCCAGCAGATGCCCACCAGGCTCCACAGCACCCTGCCCGACAGCGAAACGGCCGCAAACTTCTCCAGGTCCAGGTTCAGGAGCCCAAACAGGTCATTTGAAGTGGGGAGATGGAATCACAGAACAAAATTCTTTGGGTTGGAAGAAAACTTGTAGGTCATGGAGCCAGGGACACTGCCCCGTGTCCCTCACCCCACATCTGCACAGCTTGGGAACCCCTCCAGGGGTGGGGACTCCACCACTGCCCTGGGCAGCCTGGCACAGCCCTGGGCAACCCTCCAGGGCAAGAAATTGTTCCTCAGGGGCAACTGAAACATACCCTGGGGCAACTTGAGGCCCTTTCCTCTTCTCTTGTCCCTTGGGAGCAGAGCCCGACCCCCCCCTGGCTCCAGCCTCCTGTCAGGGAGTTGTGAGAGGGATAATGTCAAAGAATCTGAAATCTAACAAGTACAACACAGCCCTGCCTTTACCTGAAGCATTTTCAGTTTGTAAGGTGTGACTCTCCTCCGAGCAGTCCCTTAGGACACAAGAGATGTGAGAAAAGCTCTTTGTGATCCCCAGGGATGGAAATCTCTAAATAAAGAGAACACAACAGGAGCAGAGCTTGGCTGCCTGGCACAGCACAGACCCTTCTGCAGAAGGTGTTATCTGCAAGGGCATGCTCCTCTAGAGTCCTTGCAGAGTCCTGCCCTTGATCTGGGTCTTGGAAGACTCGTGGGGGATCCAGGACCCTTTCCAGATAAGCTGCAGTAAGCAGAAGGCACTCCAAGCACGCTGAAGAAAAGCCACAATTCTCTCATCAACTCTGTCCTACCTAAACCACAGCTTCCTTGAAGCTCATCCCACAGATCCAACACTTGGGGTGCACAGCAGAGCAGAATGCCAGTCTGGAGGGAAAGGCAGAGCTCCTTGGTGGCCCACACAGCTCCTTGGTGGCCCACACAGCTCCTTGGTGGCCACACAGCTGTGCTGCCCCAAGCTGGGGCCATCCCCCAGCATTGATGCTCTCTGCTTCCCACCCCTCAGGGCAGCCACACTTCAGCTTTCCTGATTGTCACAGGAGAAGGAAAAGGGCTGTATGAGGAGAAAAAAATGCTTTGAAAGTCAAATCAGTTCCATACAAACCAGGGGCTCCTGCTCAGGAAAGACTGAAGGTGTTGGGAAACCTCAGAGAGCAGCAGCCTCCAGCAAAGCCTGCACCCAATTCCCTTCAAGGTCTTGATTCCTTGAAATCCAGCACCTCTCTTGCCACCCTCCACCACAGGACCCAGCTTTGGGAACCACCCTCAAGAACTGCTGCAGAGCCTAAAAAGCTTGAACCTTGCCCTAGGACTTTATGTTGGGGGGGGGAGGGCCAGCACCAAGTCACACCCTGCCAGCAGCATCCCCTCCCTGGGCAGCCCCCACGGGTGGGACCTGCTCCCACCGAGCAGCTTCAGCCCCTCCCCTGGCTCTTCTCCACGTGGGTGAAAGTGAAAGATCCACAGGAACCAGAGAGATCAAAGCCAGAGTGAGAGAATCTGAAACCATGCTGCTAGGAGGGGCAGAGGGGCTGGAAAAGGTCCTGGCTGAAGCTTATTTACCAGCTCCCCGGGGTGCACAAGGCACCAGCTGGAAAGCAGGGCCAGCCCAGCCCTGAAAAACCCTCCCCTGGAGCAGGGGGATGAACACAG